AGTTCTCACCTACATCGTCCACAAGGGACGACTCGGGAACTCAACTCCTACCTCGGGCAGCTCACCTATCCCCCTATGCCCAGGGGAAAGGTATCAAGCCGTTTGACAGCTGATGCAGGCTGTCAAAACGGCTTTTACGCGGAAACAGGCGGGAGCAGCAAACAGCTGCGTCCAGCGAAGTCGCCTGCCACCGGAAGTCAGAAGCTCTCACAGTTGACTGCATTTAGCTGATTCAAATAACTTCTTTATATTCATATCAAAATATTTACAATACCATACATTCTTCTTTACAGCAACATAGCACAATGAAGACTTCTTACAGAGAGAGATACAGAGACAGACCCGAGACTGGATAAAAATCCAGCTCCTAACTCAATACCTTTTTGCACAGACTCAGTAGCACTTTTCTTACATTGGCTGACTGACTTACCACATGACTCTTCCTGCTCATGAATATTCCAACAATATGCCTCTCAACTCCCAGCATCTCTGGGTGGTTTGCAATTCTTATAACATTTTAAAAACAGTACAAAAAACACAAAAACAGCATAAGACAAAAAGGGATATTGATGGCAAGGAAATTAAACTGAGAGGGCAACAGAAAGGAAGAAAGAGACATTGATTGTCCTCTCCAACAGCCTGCACAGAGAATAGGAAGGAGCCTTTGAAATCCCAGGAGTGTGGGAGCTGTTTTTCTGGCAATTATTCATAGTTATTTTAGGCAGTTAATAGCAGCTTTAAAAAACCAACAGCAAGCAACAAACAAACAAAAAACCTACCAGCATCTGGAAAGCAATGAAACTTTGATTATTATAGCCAACTCATGGGTTCTGACTGATGCCCCAAATCCAGAACACAGCCACATCTTCAAGGCCAGAGGTTTGGGATAAAATCTAATCACTACGACATTGCTAGCTTTCTGGGTCCCACCAGATGACATACTTTGATTGATGATTGATTGATCCTGCCTCTTCTGCAGGATCTCATGGGAAAGACAGGCTCTTAAAATCTTACCATTGTTAAGTATGATTCTCTGCCACCCTGTTATTTGTTATGGTTTATAAAATGTTCACATGTTACTCAGTACTATGTAGAGATAAAAAATTTAAAAAATTGACATTCTTTACCTGCAGGGTTCTAATTTAATAAACTTTGTACAAAAGGGAAAATGAAAATTTATATTTACCGTATATACTCGAGTATAAGCCGAGTTTTTCAGCCCATTTTTGGGGCTGAAAAATGCCCCCCTCGGCTTATACTCGAGTCGGCGGCGGCGGCGGGGGGGCGGCGGCGGGGGTGGGGGGGCGGCCAGGGAGGAACAGCCAAAATGCCCCCTCGGCTTATGCGCGGGTCACCAATTTTTCCCAGTTCTCTGTGGGAAAATCGGTCCCTCGGCTTATACTCGGGTCGACTTATACTCGAGTATATACGGTATATCAGTCTGTCTGATTTGTACTTATTTGAACTGATGGTGCCATTTTTTCTGGAAGTTTGTAGATTCTTATGTCATATGTATGAATATGCATGTATATATGCAGCTGCAAACACATAAACAGTGGAGACCAACCTGGATTGCCATTTATCAGTCCTTTGCCATTGGCCTTAAAGGCTAGTTAGATTGGAGGGCAAAAATGATCTACTGTTGGGAAAGAGGTATGGAGTGTAGTGCATTAGTCTTAGGCAAACTAATATTTGTTATATACTGAACAGTAAATATTTTTGCAGCTTTGACCATATTGTGTGCATTTTGATCAACATTATACAATTTGAATTTCTGCAGGAGAAACTAAATTTAAGTTGCATCCATAGTCCAATGGTTACTGAGCTGATGAGGGGCATTCGCACTCAAATAGAAGGACTAATCAGTGGCCTTCCATCCCGGGAGATGGCAGCTATGTGTTTAGGATTGGCACACAGGTATTGTTTTCCCATCCTTGATGACTATATCAGCTTTTTGAAACTCAAGACGCTATCTCTGTGGTGTATTAAATCTCTAAATCATCCTCAACAGACAATAATTGTAATTAATTGGATTCATCTTCATTTGGATTCCAGATGAAAGTATCCACGTTGATATGGATTCTTTTCAGCAAGTATACCCCAAGGATTGTGAACTAATATATGCAGAGATGAAAGTTGCCACCTACTGGCTTGCTGTATATGCCTGACTAATTAAGATAGCCTCATGGATATGAGAGACAGTTCATGTGTTCTGGAGCGAGGGATGTCTTCACATTTTCTAAAAGGAGACAGTTGTATGACTACAACTAAAAATGTCACCTCCTGAACCTGGAAGATTTTTGTAATTATACAACACTCTGCAATCTAGTTGAGGTGACTAAGAAGTTGGTAGCCTCATAGCTCCAGATGCGTTTTAGTGAAACTGATTATTCTAGACCACAGGTGTCAAACTTGCCGCGTCACGTGATGTCTTGTGACATGACTTTTTTTTTTGGCATTGCTGGAGCTGGGGTGGGCGTGGCCTCTGCATGATGTAACCAGCCTGTAGGCTGGCAGTTTGACACCCCTGTTCTAGACCCATTTCAGACAGCATTTTGCTTGAGATACTCTGATGGCCTTGCTTTGGTTTCATTGGTGAATAACCTATACTAAAAACTAAATAGGAGATTACAATTATGGTAGTTCTTTTAGATTTCTTGATTTGATACCATCATATTCCAAGGAAGCAGTTAACTTACTTAAATATGGCAGGCTGGATGAGGGAGAACAAGCTAAGGTTAAATCCAATCAGATGGTTGTGATCTTGGAAAGGAGAAAGCTGATTTGAGCCACCAGGATCAAGGTGGATCTTGTTTCAGATGGGCTTGCTCTCCTCTAAAAAGAGCAGTCAGTGGCCTTGAAGTGCTTCAAGGATCCCAGCTGCAACAGAATTTGTAGATAGTAAACTGGTGATGAGCGCCTTTGCACAGCTACATCTGATGCACTAGCAGCAGTCCTTCACAAGCATGCTTTATGTTAAGCTGTCCTTGAAAACTATTCAAAATTGTAGTTGGCAAGTAGGTTGCTACCTGTGCAAAGTCCAGGATTCATATGACTCTTGAACTGAAAGTTCTGCATTGGTTCCCAGTTGCCCACTTGGAACAGTTTAAGCTGCTGATGTCAGTCTTTAAAGAACTAATCGGCTTGAGGTCCATCTGAGTGTCTTTCTGTTCTGAACTTTGATCAGCAGGAAAGACCCTTCTGGCCCCCTTATTGCCAGAAACATGTCTATTTGTTATGCAGAAGAAGACTTTCTCCTGCATAGTCCCCTGTTATGGAATTTAGACACAAGGAGGCATGTTTGACATCCCATTATTCGTGACACTGAGGAAAATTTCTTTTGTTAAATGAATTTTGACTTCAGTGATATTGATTTTAGAATTTTGTCTTGATTTCAATTGTCTTTTTATTTTTATATTTTGTAAGTTGTATTTTTAATTGCCATAGATTCCTTGAATGTCAAACAAAACAAAATCCTAAGTAATTAAACACAGGCTGGAAATGATGGAAGCGTTTGGCACATTTGGAGGGTGTCACATTAAGGAAAGCTTTCTGCCTTACCTATTGGCTTATCATATATGAAGTAGAATATAAGTTTCACTTCTATACATGAGTATGCTTCCAAACTCAGTAACTTTGAAACTGAATTACAGGTAACTGTATAGAGAATAATGAACGTCAAAAGTTCTTTGAGAATCAGTTTCTGCAGTGTAGTGAGTGAATGACTTCCTTTTTATGAAGCAAAAAAATCTGTGGCAAATGTCAACCTCGATTATGATCTAAACGTACATTTTTCTGCAAACTAGTAAGCGCATAAAGTAAAAGCAATCCCATCAACAGTTTTTAAAGATGGATATGAGTGCCTGGGTTCAAATATCTCCCCATATTCCGGGCTAATATTCTCTTTCACTAATAGTGTATGGTTCTTGACTCTTATACTAAGAATTTGTAAAATCTTAGTATATACTTAGTAAATACTTAGAGCCTTGCAGATCTATAGAACCATCATGAATGCTACATGTTATCAAAACCTAGCCTCTTATTTACACTGAGAAAGTCCCTATAATTTATTAGGAAAAAAGGTGCATCGAATATGCCTATGAGATAGCTATAATCTATACAGTTTTTCTGGCTTTTGATATGTGCTGGGATTAGAACCATCATCTCAGGATGAAACAGACTGGCCTATAGCTATGTGGTATGCTTTTAACAAATATATGCTTCCAATACAGGGAATGCTAATAATGAATTAATATTTTTAATAAAAATATTAATATATTTTTCATTAGTGTTGTCCCCTGTTTGTATACAAAATTATTTCTTTTGTATGTTTTATTTTTAGCCTCTCCCGATATAAATTGAAGTTCAGCCCAGACAAAGTTGATACAATGATTATCCAAGCAATATGTAAGTACAATTTTAAGTGAAATAAATGAATGTTTTTGACTTACAGTATCAGGGTCTGCAAGTTTGGAATCAGTATGGAACTCCCTAGCTTGATACTGTTGAATTTGGTTTTTGTTCTGGTTAATCCTGCCAATCCTGCTATATCTGACTTATGATGTGGTAGAAGTTTCAGTGGTCAAGTACCATCAGGATGATAGAGCTCTTGAGATGTGAGGGGAACCAGGTTGATGATGAGGCCCTCAGTTCAGATTTGTGGGGCTTGCTTAATAGTTTTGTAGAATTGGCTAAGTGTATGATTTGGTAATATTTGGTAATACCTAATATTGTAATGCATCTTAGAAATCCCTTAAGTTGTATTGTCGGCCTTTTAAGAAATCTGTCAAAAAATACCATGTATAATGGCAAGACATTACCCTAAAGTTGAACAAGCTATAAAATGAACAATTTTGGCTGATACAGCACAATGCTATTTGCTTAGTGACATTGTAGGACAGGATGAATGGTTAAAGACTGAAAAATATAGCACGAACATCTTTATGGAAGTAGGAATTTACCATGGTTGATATAATTACAAATTACTTAGAAGAATAAAACTTGATCTCAAGAAAGGAGGGATTTTGAGAAAGATGACAGAATTTGACACACTTATAAAAAACCAAAATCATCTATTAGCATATATAGATGGGCATTGAAATATGTGCAGAGGGAACAAATAAAATTGCTTGAGAAAGTAGATGGGAAATTTCAAAGGCGTAATCATAGTAGAACAATAGAACTATGAAAAAAATCAAATTTACTGCAAGCTATAATTTGAGGGGAAACTGGTACAAAATGTTTTATAGGTAGTATATGATGCCATAACAACAAATGTTTGAAGTGCTCCCAAAAAATAACATTTTTGCAGATGTGATCATGCAAAAAAAGTTCAAAAGAAGGAAATATATAAAAAGATTCAGAAAAATAAACATAAACAGATATTTTTAGTGGAAGTAATTCTAGTAAATTTGAAATGGAAAGTAAATTTGAAATGAGAACAATAAAAACCGCAATCTACTAAGATACAGAGAACAAATTTTGTACAGCATTCATGGAAAATGAAATGAAACTGCCAGTGAGATAAGATTGGAAAATTTGCTGTGATGGTGAAACTGATAATACAGGTAGTCCTCAATTTATAACCATTGGTTTAGTGACCGTTCAAAGTTATAACAGCACTGAAAAAAGTGACCTATGACCGTTTTTCACACGGCCATTACAACATTCCCATGGTCATGTGATCAAAATTTGGCCGTTTAGCAACTGGCATGTATTTATGACTGTTATAGTGCCCTAGGGTCATGTGATCACCTTTTGCAACATTTTGACAAGCAAAATCAATGGGGAAGCCAGATTCCTTTAACAACCATATCACTAACGTAACAGCTGCAGCGATTCCCTTAACAACAGAGGCAAGAAAGGTCGTAAAATGAGGCAAACTCTTGCTTAATCATCGAAATTTTGGGCTTGATTATGGTTATAAGTCGAGGACTACCTGGCGACTTACAACTATACTGGAGCCTGTCCATTATGGTTGCAAGTGGCGATGGCTGTTAAGTGAGATGGCCTTACTTAATGATAAGGTGACCACCTTTTTTACAACGAGAAGGAGGACACAAATAAATTGAAGAAAAAAATATCGTAAATAAAACATTCATTGCAACAATACAGAATACACTATAATATGATAAATGCATAATAAAAAACATTTGTAACAATAACATTTTATATTGTAATTATACTTACATGGCTATTAATATTTAAATGAGTACAAAAGAAGGACGATTGGTCACCTTATTAATGGTTAGGCAGTTAATATTCCTTTTAAAAGAATTCCTGTTTCTGTCATTTTATCATAGTTACAATTAAATCTTTTTCAGAAAAGCAAATTAAGCTTTTTCAGAGCTTTTTCCTAGATTATGAGAGAGATTCTTTATGCTCAATGCAGACGTTTACATGAGATAAGACACCATGCATAGCTGGGAAAAATTTTTTGATTGTAAGTCACTCCAGCACAAGACTACATAACTTCTGAAACATTTCAGCATTCTTGGAAGCTCTTTACATTGGTTAAACTCTATACAGATATTAATTCATACTTTGATTTTAATTAGGTGGAGATTCTGAAGAAGCTAATAAGCTAACAATAACTTCTAAAGCTATATAGACAATAACTAATGAACAGCATGGATGGTGGGGCATGTATTTGAAACCAGAGCATTGTGGCCTTCTAAGATAATTGTCAAGGTTCCGACTAATGAAACACTTCAAAGAACTTCCAAGCATTGTTTATTCTAAAAACTCTTTTATTCATGTAACAAAATGTCCGCAGGGCATGAAGAGGGATGCTAAAATCTAAATTCTCCTCCCCTGAGCACATATTTTGCCAGCATGTTCCCTCCCTCAATCTGCCGTCTCCTATGATTTTTATCTAATATAATTACCCACATTCCTCCCCTCCCAGCGTCATCTGAGTTAACTCTAAAAATACCACACAGCTCTGCATGTTTGGTCAGAGCAAGAACATCCAATGTTAGCAGCGTTGACAATAATACAGAAAAAGTTAACTTGTAGCATATGATACATCTTAAAGAGATAACTTTAAATCTGGCCATGTGTGTTATCATTTTAGAAGGAAAACAGAATTAGCCTTTACTTTTAGGGAATATAGAAATTACAACATACTATTATAGATATTGAACTGAGGGATAAAAATATGAATGTAGCTTTTCCCCATCTTCACAGGTTAGGGCCACCTTACAATGTTAGCAGAGGTGTCCTTTTATATCTAGGTGTCTTGTAAATATATCAGAAATCCTTTGATAACTTTAAATTACCATGTTGCACATGAAAAAGTAAATATTGAAGCATTACATGAATCTTTCTGATACTATTTTCAAAAATGTGTATTTCCAACGTATAACTGAACTAAACTAAAACATGTATTTTGCCTTTTCCAGCTCTTCTTGATGACTTGGACAAAGAATTGAATAACTACATTATGCGTTGTAGAGAATGGTATGGGTGGCATTTTCCTGAATTGGGCAAAATTATCACAGATAATCTAGCATACTGTAAATGCGTACAAAAAATTGGTAAGTAATGCTTAATCTCCTGCAAATGGTGAACAGTCTGACCTATTCAGTATTTCTGAAATTATTCAAGTTTTCCTGTTAGCTGTGAGGCCCAGGCTACAATAACTGCTATAGAATATGTGTCTGTTGCTAACTTTCTCTTCTTATTTACATAAATACAATTCTTACATAAACAAAACTTTTTTCTGTATTCTGCCGACTTCTTCAGCAATTAAGCAATGAAAAATACTAAATATAAAGACTGTTACTCTATTTTCCAATTCAGTTGTATGCAGGATGAAATGAAAAAACAAGACCTGGTTATTGAAAAGTTGTTCTTACCTGTATAGATTCTTATCTAAACTATTAAGTAGAAATTCCTTGTTAGACATAAACACTTGAAAATCATCCATCTGCTCCTCCATTTCCTTTTCATGCTTATCTTGGTACCACAAACCTATAGCTTAATTAACAGCTTAATTTCTGTTTGCTGTTTGTCCTTATTGCCACTTTATATTTTTACTCCCCAGGAGACAGAATAAACTTTTCCTCTTCTGACCTGTCTGAGATCCTTCCGGAGGAGGTGGAAAAAGAAGTGAAAGCAGCTGCAGAAATCTCCATGGGGACTGAAGTGTCAGAAGAAGATATAAGCAATATACAGCATCTTTGTGATCAGGTGATGGTGTAATGGCAAATGAACAGTAGCAGCAGTGGCTGGTTAAAAAAAGTTACCAGTCTGTAGGCCATTTAACACATCTAAGTGCCACTTTGGTCTAAATCTGTTTTAAATCTAAAGAAATAGAATCTGAGTGGATTAATCCAGTTTGGTTGATCATGTCTTGGTTTAATGAGCTCAGGCATGAAGAAACACTTGTCCCCAAATAGTCAATGTCCTTTTAATTGTTTATATCTCATGTTCTAATTAATTCAGAAAACATCTATTTAACATCAGTTTATTTAGAAATGGTGATTACTAGCTTTGTTAATGATAGTGAAGGATAGGAGTCCCAGTGGTTAGATTTGCAGCAAGCAAACTGCCCACACTCTGGAATTCGATCCTGAGAGTTTCAAGGTTGACTCAGCCTTCCATCCTTCCTAGGTCAGTAAAAGGAGAACCCAGATTGTTGGAGGCAATACTGTATGCTGACATGGTAAACTGCCAGAGAGTGCTGTAAGCAGCGCTTTTTTTCTAAAAAATAATAATAAAAAAAATTAGGCGCCAGAACTCACACACGTAATACAACCCGCTTTGCCTACCCTATAAGGCAGGGCTTTTCAACCTTTTCACCCATTGTACCACTTTTAGAATATGGCAATATCCGAGTACCACCAGTCGCCTAGCAAGGTGTCAAAAACTTCCTCCTGTCTGAGGTTTTCATTGTTGTGAGCATTTCTGTTGAGGATTGGCAGCGGGGGTGGGGTGGGGGTGTTTGGTTTTTATTTCCCCCATCTGCTGGGTGGGTGCAGGAGGTTTTGGTCACTTCACATGACCCTGGAACACTGACCGTCATAAATATGAATCAGTTGCCAAGCATCTGAATGTAAATCACAAGACCCTGGAGATGCTGCAACATTCCAGCTGATTGACACTTCTTCTGGGCTCAGCAGAAGCGCCAGGATCAGTGCTGCTTTCCAGCTGGAGCCTGGCACTGATCCTGGCATTTCCACTGAGCCCTGACAGTCCTGAAGAAGCACTGATCAGCTGGAAAGCAGCACTGATCCTGGCGCTTCCGCTGAGCCCTGCAGCTCCAGCCATCTCTCGCTCAGGCTTGTGCGGTGCTGCCACCGGTTCAGCTCATTCCCTTCCCCCGCTACCACTTTTCTAGGATGGTCGCGTACCACCTACCAGGTGCCAATGTACCACAGGTTGTACCCGTACCACTGGTTGAAAAGCCCTGCTATAAGATTCCATCCAAAAAAGGTGCCAGAACTCCGTTCTTGGCGTTCTATGAGAAAAAAAAGTCCTGGCTGTAAGTGCTGGCACTTGGCAACCAGCTCACCAGTTGTAGTATCCTGTGGTCACATGACTGAGATATGCATACTTTTTGCTATTTTCCAGTACAAAATGGCAAAAAACACCCATTGGATATGCTGGATTTTCTTAATGACCACATGATTCATTTAACATGGTGACCCTCTTAATGACTTCAACAACTTACAACCAAAATGTAGGTTCAGTTGTGCTCATATGTCAAGGACTACCTATATGCAAGCAAATTTATGAAATCAAGATATGATTGCCCCCAAATCTTGTGGTTGGTTTTTAATCTTTTTGGCAATTGATTGTGTTAGGGTAATATTTTAGAACACAACCAAATTTGCAATTTATATTAGTTTTCGATGGCAAGTGATGATTCCTCTAATGATGCTTTCCTGATGTACAACCTATGAGGGTTGCATAGTCACTACCTCTTCTGATGCCATCACAAGTAACTGGTTATCATAACTGGAACATATTCAGGACCACAGCTTGGCTGAATGTATATATATACCTGCTTGTTCTAAAATCCGCAGAAGGTTTTCTAGAATATACACTAAGGTAGCAGAATAGTTAGGTCATTATAGTGCCAGGAGGCCAATGCTACTTAGTGCTAATGGGCCAAAAATATCACAATAATTTACATATTGTCCAGAAATACTGCTGTTTTATTTTTTATGCTGGATTAGATTTTTTTTTTGTTAAAGTATTCATACTTTAAATCATTATTCCTTGTAGTAACAATAAAAATCACCACCAGTCAATTGCAAAAAGTAGCTTTACTTGGAACAGTTTGCATCCTGGAGCAATATCTTGAACAACAACTTCTATCCCAGGTCCTTGGGTAGGTCTCAGTTGATGGATAAAAATTCCAAATCCAGTTTAAACTTCTGACTGATTGCATAATAATAGATCATCATACTCATGATTCCTTAATATCTGTTTCACTTCATTCCCAGTTTTCTTTGGCAATATTCCATAGCTTGAACCTTCTGTTATTTTGCCTTTCAGGTGATTGAGATCTCTGAGTATCGAGCAACGCTGTATGACTATCTGAAAAACAGAATGATGGCCATTGCGCCTAACCTCACTGTTATGGTGGGAGAACTAGTAGGAGCAAGGCTTATTGCCCATGCTGGTATGTTGCAATTCTTGAGTTTGTGTGTTGGCTGTGTGCAGCATCCTTTACTATAATCATCTTAGAGATAAACTAAACAAGAAACCATAATGCAGAGTTACATTGTCCGGTCAAGAAGAAGTTGACGATGATGATATTATTTGAATTTTGCTTGATTTCATCTTGGAAGGTGAAAGCAACTTTAGTCACTACCTCTTCTGAGACACTTCTTGAGCCATTTTCTGCTTTTCTCATTCATTCACTTCCAAATACCAGATTTATGCTGCCTTTAAGTTATTTTCAAATCATGTAAATGGAGCAGGCAAAGTTAGGTTCAGGATTTTCCTTACAGTTCACAGAAATTGTGCGATGATGCCCATCCCAATGAGGCCTTTTGTTCCTATTTCCTAGAAATATTTAGTCAGTTTGGACGGTAATAGGTATGAGGCTTGTCATTTCCAAATCTTGAACTTAACGTTTTGTAAAGGTCCTATTTCAGAGTTTACTTCATTTATATAATCTTCTATTACATCTTGTCTGCAATAGGTTCCCTGCTGAATCTAGCGAAGCACCCAGCATCAACAGTTCAGATTCTGGGAGCTGAGAAAGCACTTTTTAGAGCACTGAAGACTAAGCGTGACACTCCAAAGTTTGGTCTGATTTATCATGCTTCCCTTGTAGGGCAAACAACAGCTAAAAATAAAGGAAAGGTAAGATGTTGTTCTTGCTGCTTTTGTCTCTGAAACAGGCAGATTGAGATATGGCAACTTCAATTGGCAGGAAATAAAAAAATAAATAAGGAATGATGCTTAAAGTTTGGTTTGGTTTTCAGTGAGGTTTTTGTTCCTCGGATAATCTAGTGTTACTTTCAAATATTATACAATGCTTTTGCTCTACATCAACTCTGAATGTTCCATGGTCTGAGAACCATGAATACAATGGTTCTTGTATTAATCCAGTGTTTATGTGAAAAAATAAAACAAAATCACTGCCCCCATCCATCAGTTAAATCATACCCAAGGAATGCTCGTTTAAACAAAGAAGCAGGGCTGTCTGAACTTGTCTCTTCCTATTCAGTTTGGCATGAGGAACCGGAACAAATGGATTTGTCCCAGCAAGCATAATTAAATATTCTCTGCCATGAGCATTCAGCTTGCACAAGTCTTGGCTGATTGATATATTCTGGGGTCCTCTCACCTACATCAATGATATGCAATCTGGTCTTCAGGTTGACATGTTTGTAGGCATCCAACATTACCAGATTTGTTTAAATTTTTTTTTTCTTTTTCTTTTTTACAGATTTCACGTATGCTAGCTGCCAAAACGGCTTTGACTATTCGTTATGATGCCCTTGGAGAGAACACAAGTGCTGAGATGGGAGCTGAGAACAGATTGAAAGTAGAAACAAGATTACGGCACCTGGAGGAGAAAGGAGTATGTTTATAAAACTCGTGTTTTGGGCAAATGGACCTTTGAAAATAAAAATGAGTAACATAACTATCCAAAAGTGTTTTAGAAATACCTCAGGATTGTGTGGTTAAACAACTGATGGTTGCAGGATGAACAGAAAAGCTACAATTCATTTGCCCACAGTCTCCCTATGTTTTGGGAGACTGATGGCCACAATAGCTTGGGGTATGGGAATTGATCGCCTAAATACACCTGAGTAGAGATGGAGCTGGGAAGACTGCTCCCTTTCCTTTGGGATATAGAACTGATATCCTATATTGATTAATATGAAACTCGTTATAATTGCAAAGGAGCTTTTATTCCCATCAAATCAAATAGATATGGAATATATTTATTAACTAGCCGTCTGTTTGTTTACCTGTTAAAATAGAGAGCACTTGGTTCCCTTGCTGATTTAAGCTTTGTGTCCATGATTACACTTTTTTTTTAACCACTATCATCTATTAACTATTAATCTTTTTAAGGGATTGCATTGGGTTGTATCAATTTTTAATTATTTTTTTGTTTTGTTTTGTTTTGACTCCCTTCCTATCCAGATAAGACGAATAAGTGGTACTGGAAAAGCTGTGGCCCGTGCAGACAAATACCAGCACAAGAGGCGAGTATGTGAACGTTCACTTTACTTATGGATAACTCTGCCAAGAGTGCTTAATTTTTCTGCTCAGATACTTCACATTCATAGACATGTTTTGTCAAAAGAAATATTTTAGTTCTCAGTACCACCTAGCTTGGTTGCTTTTGTAGCCATTGTGAAACTGGAGATCGTCATATTTAAAGAAAAGCTTTCCCAACTTTTGCCATAATGTGCTGTTAGATTGAGGATACGTAGCCGTGAAGTTTACTTTTCTTAATTAGCATTTCTGTATTCAACATTGTTTTGAAAAGAGCCTCTGTTTTACACTGTAAAACTGTTAGGGTAACGTACCCAATATCTGCTCCGTTAGGCTTTTCACAAAGAGCCACAAATTCATTGAAGCTGTTTCACAACCCCTCCATTGGATCATAGAAGAACTCTGCTGAAACAGACTAAAGGTTCTGAGGGGTGCTGTGGCAGTACTGCTTTGACTTCACTTTGCCACCCAGCAATTGGCATTAATGGGTTTCCATTCATTTACCATTTGCTTGTACTCCTTTAAACATTCCAGTGAAGTGAAGGTTTATGACCCTTCTGGGGAATCCACGCTCCCGCTGGTCCCAAAGAAGCGCAAGGAACGGGAAGCGAATGAAGAACAGGCAGTTCCACCGAAGGCAAAGAAGGTTAAAATAGAAATCAAAGGTTAGTTTAATGAACTTTAATGGTGAATCTGTAAAAGGATTTTGTACGGTTGAATACTGACTTGTTTATTTGCTGAATTGCATTTGTCCTTCAAAAACTCCAAAGTGTTTTCTTGGGAGGGGAAGGGATTTGCTAGTTGGAAGTCCAGAGGAAAGGGACAATCTGCTTTCTCCTCCCCCCCTCCAACAACTCCTAGTTTCCCATAGTGCAAAGTCTCTCTTTCCCCATAGTGTTTTTTCTGGATTTCTATTTCTAAGCTAGGCCTACTTTAAATCCTAATGCACTTTATCCCACTGTTTTTCCACCTGAGAAGTTAACTAATTAAATTTAATTCCATGATGCATTAGAAGGTGCCGGCATCAATGTATTTTCAAAGCATTAAAATACATTTTAAAGGAAGGTTGTTTGTTACCTACATCCGCTACTTTTCATACCAGGCTACCTAATCCACTTGACTTTTTCTTAGATTCTTTTCATTATAAATAAATAAATGGAGAGCTGGCACACTACAAAGATATACTGTATCTCCATAAACATCCTTAGAAAATAAAAATTGTGGGTGGCTGTAGTCCAGAATATTACACTGAATTCTCCTTATCAACCCAGAAAAAAAAACCCAAGACCAGTTGCTAGGGAGGGAATAGAGAATGGGATGGCACACAACTGTTATGAGTTGGCCTTGTAGTAAACTGGTGTTCAGTGATTTGGCCACATCCTGCATCATCATGCACTGTGAATAATGAAATCTTTCCCCAAGGTAGCCATAACACGTACTGTATGTGTGGAGACCGGCACACAAGAATTCTTCAGCATTTTAGTCTTGCAGAATATTAACATGCCTAATTAATCTGAGTGGTCTTCTGGGTCTTGTGCCCTGAATCTTAAGTACCTAACTGAGAATCTCCAGAAAAAAACAACAGCTGGCTTTTTTTCCTGTATTTTCTTTCTGACAAAGCTTGATCAGCCAAGCTTTAGTTGGCAACCAGAATTATATTCATTTCATAAATACATTGTTTAGTTAACTTAGGGATTGTGAATGGATTCTATGTAACATTAGTGTAGAGATACATTGATCAACTAAGATGTAGAAAATATGTGGCTCACATTACCTTACAAATGAATTGAGTGATATTTGTCCAGATGTTGGATGTTAAGTCCCAGCAGTCTTAAGCAGCATGAGTTTCATTCCAACAATTGGAGAGTCGTATTTTGCTTATCTCTGTCCTACTCCATAGCATCTATGTTTCCTATAAAATATTTCTATATCACTCTCCACCTCATTATGAGCGGAAATGAGGTTTGTATGATTATTGTACAGATATGTTTGAAAGTTGCAGACGGTAAATTTGGTGTATCAGGACATCTGGGTAAGCAGGACTACAAAGCCCTTAAGCAGTGTTGCATGGACCAACACTCTGAGATGGATAGGTGTAAGCCATGGGCCCTTTTCACAGTCTTATTGTTCCTGCCTTACAGAATGTTTGCAGCAGAAGAACTTGGTTTTGCTTTTGGTGAATTAAGTCACACCTCTAGACTAAAGTTTCTAGTTCAGAAATTTGAGAAGTGAGATCCCCATCCTTTTTAATTTTTTTTGTAAAAGTTTTGTTGGTTTTTAACAATAACATCCTTAGTGCCTGATGTACAGCGTGTTGTCTTGGTTCAGAATTTTTTTAGGGAAAAAATAGACAATTAATAATTAATAAACAATAGTAATTAATTTTTATATTTCTATAGCTGGTGTATCAATTGTAAATACATTTCCCAGATCTTCTCTTCACCCAATGATATTCTCCTCCTATAACATTAAACAAATATAATTTCTAATATTTGACATTTTCCATATTTAAATGATTAAGTAAAAACATTTTCTTCTATATTTATACCAACAATAGTAGCATCCTTATATGGCTTTTTTTTCCAGCTTATGTTATTTTCGTAAGAATCATTTTATTGATTTACCATGTATCTTATTTTCATAAATCTTGTTTAAGCTCAATTTCTCCATGATATTCAAACAATTCTTATCAATCATATTTTCCCAGTATTTAACATCTAAATATCTAAATTTTCCCTTTAAATATATCATCCCAGTATGTTCATATTTCATATATTATAGAAATACTATACTATTTATCTATCATAACATCTAATAACATCTTTCTAGTCAGATTATATTTCACTTCTATTTGTAGAAATTAGTTAAATCACTATATATCCTTTTTTTCAGAATTCTTATTAAGCCTAATTTTCCCTCAACATTTCAGTCTTTTAATCCTAAATCTTTTCAAACTTAATTTGTCTTTAAAATTCAAACTTTTTCTTCACCTAGAACATCCTTATATTTTTACATTTTTTATCTTATCTGAAAAATACTATATTATTTATATCTCTTATCCCACTTATTCTAAAGTCCCTTTATAACCAAAGTTATTTATTTATTTAGCCATATTCAAACAGCTGTTTACTCATACAATATTCCATGTAGTAGGGCAAATCCAGTCTCTTCAGCCCATCTTTAATCTTCTTCCTTTGCCAAATTGTTTTCCAAATTAATATTTTCAACTTGTTCAGTTCTTGTATTTTTGTAGTTATTTTTAGGAGTAGAGGATACATAGTAGATAAGATGTGTGCTTTTTGTCTCCCAAACAATGATTCTCCTAGCAGTGTCCATTTTATTAAGTCTTCTTTCTTCTCAGGTTTGTTTTGACGTTCTAAGGTATCTTTTCCGTATTTATCATTGTCTCCAAGTCTTGTAAGTTTTTTCTTGTTTGTATTAAGGTATAATTCTCTTCAGTTGTAACTTCACCAGTCAAATCATTTTTTTCTAGTTCACATTCTGTTGTCTGGATTGTTTGTTCATTCTTTACCATCATTCTTTGAATGTTTTTTGATTGTAGATTTAAGTTAAAAGTATATTCACTTATAGTATCAAAATTATATTTAATCTCCTCGTGGTTTAAGTCTATTGTAGTTTGTATCTGTCGTAGTATTACATAAATTTCGTCTTGGGAAATATCTATCTTGTCTTGAAGTGTTTCTAAAGGTCTTTGATCTTTCAAGCTAAATCTTTCAGGGATAGATATTAGGTGTGGTTTTCTATCATTTTTTGATGAGTGTGTCATATCCATGTTGTCTCCCCCTTTCGAGTAGTCCATCATAAATGCCATAGTCTCTGTAGTTAGCCTTGTCCAGCTAACCAAAACTCAACATTCATACAGTCCAGTTTTGTATAGTTCTTGTTGCTATATATAATTTTTGTAATCCACTGTAATTTTCAGTTGTCAAAGTTTCAGTAAAATCAACTTTTGTAACAATTCTTTTCTTTCAGGAGTTAATTGTCAATTCAGTATAATTAACCAGCTTAAATCCTTCCTGTAGCTTCCCTTCTCAATACTTTTCATAGATCAAAGTTTTTAAACAGTTCATAAATTTAAACCACAATCAGAACATTTCTTTTCCTTTAAACACTTTCCAATCTTGTAGCAGGCCTGGTATACAATCTCTTCTCTGTTCCTTAGCAACTATCTTCTTGAAGGTTATTAGAGTTCATGGGAACAGATTTGTTATTCTTTGTTTCTGGGCCTTGTCTTTAGTATGTTATAGTCTCCTTGTCCACTAGATGTCAGCAAATATTTATTTCCAGCTCTTTCAGACAAAAAGTTGTTCTTTTTCTTTTTCTATGTAGTTCAATCAAAACCCTTTAGAATATAATCTAAGCAGTTTATTTTAGTTTCTAAGTTTGATCGGATTATAGTATTTTGAATTAAATTTCAATAAAGTTCTTTTCTCCTTAAAGGTTAATCTATGGGGGAATGAATGTAATCCTCTCCTCTCACTTTTGGAGGTTGTTTGCTTTGGGGGTCTTTCCCAGGGACTGGTTGTAAAATAAGGGAGAGAAGATCAAATACTCTCACTATTTCCAAGCACGCTGTTCACTGTTGTTCTTGGTAGTGCTCTTGGACTTCGGCTGCAGTATGGCTAGCCTTTCTCCTGTCGGGTTCAGAGGGCTTTCCCCGGATCAAACGAAGCGATTGCCATCGCTTCGTGATCAGCGGGGCACCCCTCCTTCGCGGTCACCTCTCCAGGGCAATTTCGGACCCATCTAGGGTCCCCCTGACAGGGCAAAATTAGCCGTGGAGAGCGGAGATCCGCTCTCACGTGGCCATGCACTATGAGCGCAAACCGGAAATCTGTCACGATCTCCATCCTTTTTACTTCCACCTCCACAGTAGAAAAGGTCTTGAAGGACTTCCAAAGATCAATCTTCAGCAAGAAATTCTCTAAGACTTTCTGTTTTAGATTTTGTCAGTTATTTGACAAGATGTTTAATTTAATGGTTTGGGTATTAAAAAATACTCTTTCTTTTGAATCATTCAAAGAGGAAACACATTTTATAACACTGTATGATGGTGCATGATAACACCAAACATGGTATCTTACAGGCATACTACAGTTTACATTACAGGCAGTCTGAAACATTCCTCAATGACTTCTTCCAGTTGAGTTCCATAAGTGTAAATGCTTTAGGTCTGGAACCTTCAGTGGAATGCCTTCTCATCACATCTCTTCCTCCCCAAGGACATCCATAGAAAATAGCAATAGGTGGCTACTTAAGGTGCTCAGTTTGGAAATTGTTCACCTCGGTAGGCAGCAAATGCTTCCAGAATGATAAAGCAAGTTATGTCTAAAGTGTTCTTTATCAGCTTGTTTTTCAATATATGGGTTTGTGATAATCCATAACTATTCCTTGATATGTCAGGAATGGATCATGGCCAGCAGCACGCTCCCAATTTTCAAAAATGCCCACTAGCAGCTTTGGCTAATTCCTAGCATTTCTACTTTGTTTAACTTGTACTTGTAATATTTTCCCTGCATGACACAAGACGAACAGGATGAGGATGAGCAAGTCGAACAAGAGGAGGAACATGTTAAAGAGAAGAAAAAGAAAAAGAAAAAACAGAAAACTCAAGAAACGTCTGTTTGGGTAGAAGAGCCATCGACCAGTATGGTGGTGGAGGTAGGACATTCACAATAGCCTTTCCCAGCTTGCTGCCCTCTAGAATTGTTCACTGTATCTGCTGTACACCTTGAATGTTAGTGATGCTGATATATATTTTCTGGTGCAACAAATCTGGCTGCCTTAACAAAGCCATATTTAGTATTTGTGTATGCACCTGGCCTGATTTTTTTTTTAAAAAAAAAAAGCTCCCATTTGTTTAGCTAAATGTAGACTCATTGGAAACGTATATATTTGATTTAAGGTGAGAGCAGATTAACAGTCTCATCCCAAACATCTCTATCGTAGAAGAATCTGGAATATCAGATAGAGGGGAAAAAAGGTTTTTATATGTAGTGGGTGAGACCCAGTTTAGCACAGTAGTTAAAGGCCCTGGGCTAAAAAGTGGGAGACCATGAGATCCAGTGCTGCCTTAAGTATAAAGGCAGCTGTGTGACCTTGGGTCAGTCACTGTGTCAGTGCTAGGAAGGAGGTTGCAATGGTAAACCATTTCTGAAAAATATTGCCAAGAAAATGGCATGGTCTTGTTCAGGAAGTCACCAAGAATCACAGGCACAGGTGGGGGTGGGAAGGCACCAGGTAGCCAGATCTGTTTTCTAGCTTTTGAATCTTCTCTTTTGCTTAGAATTTTCCGAGTTATAGTTGCTGCAGAATGTGATTCCAAAAAAGAAAAGTTTTAAACCAATGGGTAAAGCCTCCGAGTTGATGTTCTATTGGTAGCCTTCTCTCCTTTTTAAAAAAGTATTTTAAATGTTATTTATTGACCATTTCTAAACTAGTGTTATAGAAAGGAATGAATATTTTTTTTAATTAGTAGAAAATTGCCTTTGCAAAAACAGATAAGTCTCTTCACTCACCATTATTAAAGAAATCCCGGTTAGTTTCCGCCACTAATATGCTTAAAGGGGGTTTTCATATCTAATCTGAGGTTATGTTCTCTCCATTTAAAATTCCAAAGTACCTAGTCCCGTGGTGGCGAACCTATGGCACGCATGCCACAGGTGGCACTCAGAGCCCTCTCTGGGCACGCGCTCCGTCACCCCAGTCCTAGGCCTTCAGCTGGGTTTTATAAAACCTTTTCGCTTTAGGCGTCCACCGCCGTGTGCACAAAAAAAAAGGTTCAATCAATCAATTTCAACTTTTCGCAGGGAAAAAAAAGATCTTGCAAAGTTGGAATTGATTGATTGAACTTTTTAGTCCCACCAGTCTACCGTTACAGCCATGCCCACCCAATGGGCCATGCCCACCCGGCACCCGACGATACATAAGTGGGTTTTAGGTTGCAGCTTGGGCACTCGGTCTCTAAAAGGTTCGCCGCCACTGACTAGTTTTAAGTCTGGTAGCCTCTGTCTAAATTGTGGAAGTCGAACTGTTCCACTAAGATGCTTGGAGATAAAAAGCTTTTATACTCTATTGTGCAATTCCATTGACTCATTTCATTAATGTTACATCAATGTTAATCATGGATTCCTACAGTTCTGTAAAGCTTCGCTATCCAAAGATATTATCTTAAAGAAACAAAATCAAACCATGAAGTGCTATGCATATCTTTCATATAGAAAAATCTGTTTTTTAAAATATTATCTACAGTATAGATCAGTGGTGGCGAACCTATGACACGTGTGCCAGAGGCGGCACTCGGAGCCCTCTCTGTGGGCATGCGTGCCATGCCCCAGAGATGGCAACCATCCTTCTTCAACCAGCTGCCCGCTAACTCGTCAAGGTCCCACATGGCCAGATGCATTCCAGCACGGCTGGTTTCCCTTCCCCCTGTCCCATCCCTCCTGGCCTCACATGCTTTCCTTTTCCCGGGCACGACCCACTGCATCGCCTCCTCAGCTTTTGGCCATCTGTCCAGCTTAGATGCGGCTTCTCTGAACTTCTGGTGGTGGGCTGCGGAGCCCCAGAATGCGCCGGTCGAGGGGCCGGCAGGCTGTGGCTGCTGATGGACACTGTTGGCCCCCATGCGCTCGCTGGCCTCTGTGTGCGGGGGCCGATGGTGTCAGGCAGCAGCTGCCCTGGTCCCTGCCTCGCCTTGCCCTGTGACAATGGCACCCCAGCCCTGCCTCACCTCACTCCACAGGATGAGCCTCCTGCCCACTGCCCCACCTGCCAGAGACCCCCTGGATCTCCCCCAACCCTGCCCAGTCCCCACAGGCATCTCTCCCCATGAGCAACATTGAGGTGACCACACCCATCTTGGCCACACCCACCCAGTCTGCCATGACCACCACGCCCACCCAGTGGGCCACGGCCACCTGGGATCCGGTGATAAATAAGTGGGTTTGGGTTGCAGTTTGGGCACTCAGTCTCTAAAAGGTTCGCCATCACTGGTATAGATATTATATTTTTTATTTATCACAATGAAATGATGTGACAATGCTTATGTTTCAGAATACAGAAAAGAAGAAAAAGAAAAAGAAGAAAATTAAAGAAGAGCCAGAAGATTAAGAACAGGGAGGGTTTTTTTGAATGGTTTGCCTCATGTTTGGACTTCAGGAACATTAATTTTTGAACTAGATTTTTGTCTGATCATTAAGATCAAGAAATTCTGTATATTTTCCTTGGAATAGTTTTTTTTCAATATTTTGTTTTTGAAACTGATCTTAGTTTTAACATTGCCCTGTTAAATGGTTATAGTTTTATTTCAATAATACTATAAACTGTTTTGAAATTTCAAAAAAAGTAGTATGATTGCTTGAAATGAGTAACAGTGAGTCTCCCCTCTCCAAAGAAAACTCTACTTGGATTAATTGAATTGCTATCAATTTAATTTTATGAAGAGAATTTTCAAATATCTTTTCTTGCAACAACATTTAGCAGATATGATGCAATGTGGTTCCATTACAGAACATGCTGAAATAATGTATACAGAATAGTTTTGTTGAATGGATACAAATAATCTCTGGCCTTTGAAATTTTTAACAGAAATTGAACTATGCCCACTGATAGAGAAACAACTAAAGGAAACTTTTAAAAGAAACTTGCAATCAGCACTATTCACCTAAATCCCTTTATGGGTAGGCCTTGGGTTATGATGGAAATTGAGACCAGAATTGTGGTCATAAAGCACAATGTGCGATTTACCAAAGCGACTTACAACTTTCTCCCCCCCCCCCCCCCCCCCCCCCCCCCC